GGTTCAACGGTCATCACAGACCCACATGACGTGTCCGGCCCACCTTATCTTCGATTCCTTGGCGAAAACTGCAGCGTCCCTGATCTTCGATCGTGGTGTAATTCAGAAACTCCGGATTCCCCTCTGCACTTGCGTGTATAGGGTTACTCCTAGCATCGTCCTCTCGACAGCGCGTTGGATAACGCTGACCGCATGCTCGTCCTGCCTGCGCAGAGTCCAAGTCTCTGAGGCGTAGGTTGAGGCAGGGAGTACTCCTGAATCGAAGGTGAAGCCCATTTCTCCTGTTTTTGCCATATAGAAGACCAACGAGTAGATTGCCAGGCTCTGTCGTGAGGGCTAGGATAGATCACCAGGTAGTTAGCCACTGACTAGGGCTACTACAGTGACCTGTAAGCTTGGGCAAAAGGACGTTGGGTAGAGCACAACTCCTTTCCGCTCGTCGGAAAAAGTCGAGAAATTAGGTTTTTCACTACGACAGTGATCTGATGTGCCTGATTATTTGCCGACCTCCCCAATTCTGAAAAAAAATGGACCAATAAGGATCAAAATTATGAGAGAAGGTGCAGCTCAGACGGGAGCTAGAACGATAATAGTGCTATTACCTACATTTTAGTGGAGAATGCCACCAGAAAACTTTATCCAATGCCCCAAATAAATGATGGCTCCAATTTCGCATTCTATCGATTCATTATTTAGAGAAGGAAAGGGATGCCTTTTGTCGAATCGTTTGGCTATACTTTATTAATTCGAAAAATATGGGGCGAAGGTGGGAAGTGGCATCACTTTCCATGCTCGCGGTCGGGGGGGGGGGGGGTTCACATCGGTTCAAGTCAACAAGCAAGCCCTCCTTCCTCTCGGATCGGCTAGCTGGTACCAGACTGCCTCAGAGGATGAAAACATTGGCTCATACATTGGCTGGTCCTCGCAAGTTATTTCATAGGTCGTACCGCATTCTAATACAATTGCGGTACTGAATGAAAGTAAAATGCGTGGCGCATTCCAAGAAGGATCAGTCGACGCCGAAAGTCGTATCTTCTCATTCTTACACTGGTAGTTTACTAATTCCTATATGAATTTGAGAGTTGTTGTGCTAAATTTCTTTTGGTGTTTTGTTTTGGTGTTTCCAAAAATTGAAGGCGCCATTTTTGGAAGAAATTGTGATTCCGGACTGCGACTTCCGATTTTTGAAAAAAAAAACTGTACATCATGTATCCCACTTGATGTTCTATACTTGGTGTTACACATTCCGTGGATTTGAGGAAATTTTGTCTTTTGCTAGTCGTGCGTGTTAAGAATTGAAGAAGTTTTCATACATTTCGACGCCACTCACTATCTGTTCTCTTTTGAATAGATAACACATATACTGCATTTGATAAACATCTAAAAAATATATTTTAATGTGGCTCATTTCTGAGGACTCATTACATTAATTTCGTTGCAGTGTTTCTCTAGATTTCTCCATGTATTTCATTGTTGGAGGAAGTAAAAAAAATTGATTTTCCGCTAAATAGATCCATGTCAATCTAAAGAAATTTTGCCGGTAACACGGTTCTATATGGCTGTATCCCTTGTGAATGTATATCGGTTGCAAAACTTGCACTTTGCTCATATTTTTTTCATAAAACGCCTTATTTTTCTTTGTTGTATTCATTAAACATCTATTGTCCTGACAACTGGCTGTCCACTACTTCGGCTGTAGCTGTTTTATCAAATGTAGACTTCTATAAAGTTTGGTGCAGTGTAATAGTGCAGCGTTTGTCGCTTACTTATTCCTTAATCTAATAGTAAGGTAGGGTCATAATTCTAACAATAATTAGAGAAGAGTTTTAACTTGCATTGCAATCGGCAGTGTGCAGAATTCATTGCGTTGAAGGCGTGG